TGGCTACATAGTTTCTTTTGGCATGCCTTTTAAAAATGGTGCAGGAAGTTTACAGATGAGTCACTGTTACTGACGTCAGAACTAAGAAGCTGAGTTACAAGTGAGCTGTCTGAAACTCTATCTGGAAAGATTGGGGGAAACATCTGGAAGATATAGCAGAGGGCTTGTGATCCCCTCCATTAGGGAGGTTGTGTTGTCATAAATTGATCTTGCTAATTTTTAATTTATGAAATATGAATTATGTTTAAACACCAGATTCTTTATGACAAGAGGAGCAATTAAAACAACAAGGAATAGTGGGAAGAAAACTGAAGAGGTCTAGGGGAGCAATGTATTTGATTCAAAATGTCTAAAATAATATTGAAGGTAATTGTGGAAACATAAAATTACAATAATAGAATCATAGGTCTGGAAAGTCATCTAGTTCAATCCCCTGCACTCATGGCAGGACTAATGATTATCTAAACCATCTCAGACAGGGTTTTGTCTAACCTGCTAAATAATGTTAGAATAAAAGCATTCTTTTATCAGTGAAAAGTAGAGAGCAGTGTAATGGCTACAAGAGAAGGTCACCAAGGTGAGGGGTGCATCAGGAAGATGGAAAAGGCCAAGAAAATTATCTGAGATCACAATAGTTAAAAAGCATAAAAGAAGGCTGCTAATTTGGGGAAGCATGAACAGGGAAGGATTTCCATTTCATTGCTTAATACTGAACACATGCTTAATCTAAGTTAATTGATGTGTTCAGTTTTAAAATGATTCTACAGTATTTGAAACAGCTGAAAAACAAACCTGAAAACGGTTTATAATGGAATGCTGAACATGCTTTCAAACTATAGTTACTCTACCATATGTCATCATAATATAGGCATATATACTGTGCATAAAGTATCTGTATAGCTTTTGTTATTGGGATCCAAAATGGAAAAAGGGGAACAAAATAGGAACTCTTAATGGATAATCCTGCTGTACTGACTCATACACAATGCCATAAAAAATGAATACATGGGTGCAACTGTAGTGTTATATAATTTTATGATGGATATAAAGAGCACTGGAAAATGTTCCGTGAGCAGATGCTTTGCAATCAGAATTTGTGCCAGTAAGTTAGAAACATTGAATGGACTCGCAGTATTTCCTGACTTGCAATTTTGGAAAATAGTAATACCTTCATTTTTATTCTATTTCTAAAGAATTATAAAACAATGTAAGAGATGTTTACAACTCTTGGTTAAAAAAGAGGATTTCCAAAAACACTTTTATAGCATCTGCAATTATTAGTCAGGGATTAGCTGCATCTATGACAAACAAAAAGAGGAAAGATTATAAAATATAATTAAAATGACTTGCATAATTATTGCTTGTATTGCAGACTGAAGTACTATACAATATTAATGCCAAATCCCTCTTAAACGAGTAACCGAACAAGGAATGAAATTATATGTGGGTAACACTGAATAGTAAGGACTGCATGTCAACATTTGTGTGTTAGTCCACATAATTTATGAGTCTGTACAATCGGTACACAATATATAAAATTTACTGAGGTTCTTTTCAACATTTTTAAATGGGGAGTGAAAATAAATTATTTTATTTTATTTATCCCCCTGACCAGCGTGGGATGTAATTACTTATTCAAAAGAATGGGAAAATTGCTTAGATGTTACAGAGAGAAAGGGATGCATCTTTATAAGTGTCAAGAGAAAAGGCTTGTGTGGATTACATCTTTCTTTTTAAAGTAAATGTGCCCTTAGAGACAAGTACTGCAGTTCTTACTAGATAACTCAATGGAAACATGCTAATAAGAGGACTGGGTAATGACTAAAAGATTTGACCCTATATTATAATAAGCAATTTAAGATGAGAATGGATTTGCCTCAGATAAGGAAAGAAACAGTTATCTATATTTTCAATCTTCAAAAGAGAGAACATAGCACAGAATCATGGAATTTGTCATACTAGATGAGACCGGTAAGTTTGAGATCCAGAGAAAGGTAAAAAATAGGGCTGTGAAACAATTTAAAAAATTAATCCTGATTAATCATGCAATTAATTGCACTGTTAAACAATAATAATATATTTAGTTTATCGATGTAGTTGGTGTTGGCCTTGCTTTGAGCAGGGGGTTGGACTAGATGACCTCCTGACGTCTCTTCCAACCCTATGATTCTATGAATAGAATACCATTTATTTAAATATTTTTTGATATTTTATACATTTTAAAATATATTGATTTTAATTACAACACAGAATACAAAGTGTACAGTGCTCATTTTATATTTATTTTTGATTACAAGTATTTGAACTGTAAAAAAAACAAAAGAAATAGTATTTTTCAATTAATCTAATACAAGTACTGTAGTGCACTCTTTATTTATCAAGAATCTTTCTTAATCTCTGCAGTCATCCACATATGAAAATAATTTCCAAAGTTTTGGTCATGTTGTTTCTTGTGGGCTTGGGTCTCATGACCCTTTTGTTTACTTGCAAAATGGATGTCTTTGCATCAAAGGTGTGTAAATGTGAAATTTCACTTTTTGGACGTTAGTCATCTTCTCTGGAAAATGATCAACTTTTGATAAAAAAAAACGTTCAGTGTTGCTTGAACAATTGGTCTATAGTACCCAAATTTTCTGAAAAATGGCACCTCTTTTTTAATTTTGTAACAAACCTTGAATAATTTGGAATTTCAATCAGCTTTGATTTTTCATTAAAATTATTTCACCCCATTATACCTATTTTAACCCTGAAATGATCTATGCTTCTTTTTGCCCTGAAAGATTTATTAATTGATTCATTTGGTAAATGAGATATTTTAAAAATGTATTACCTATTAAAATAGGTTTAAAATACTCCCTATAAATTACTTATCAAAAGGTTAAACCTATGAATGCTAAACTATTGCCACATACTCTTAAAAATCTATGAAAAGTCAAATGCAAGTTTTCTTCTGTCTTTTGAAGCAGTCCTGGTTTACAAAGCTTAAAAAAATTCCAAGAAACACTTAAGACATCAAGAATCCATAGACAGACTATAATTTTCTTTGTGCTGTTTGACATCAGTGATAATGCCATATCATTGAGATGCGCTTCATGATGTTACTCAACATCTTGGCCCATTCAAGGTAGAGCTACAATTTGTTTAGTCATAATGAGAAATCTCGAGGGGAATGTCACTGAGTTTTCCCCATTCAGTATATTCCACTTGTTAGGATATAGATATTCAGGACTGTCTGTAAAGGCCTGTACTCTAAGAATTTAGGTGTATTCTTATCACTTGGCTAATTATAGAGGTATAAAAGAATCAAAATCACTGTCTGCTGGTGTAAGGGCCTTTTCTTACTGTGACAGTCTGAGGCCCTGTTCTTAGGCTAAGGCCTTTGGCTAAGCAGCAGAGGCAGCCATAAGCTAGGAAGCGAACAGTCACATCCTCACATTCCAAACTAGTCACATTGAAATAAGGTGCTATTGGGCTGTTAGGCACTATCGGGACAGGATTGTATTCCTATCACCTCCAGAGAAAGGGAAGTGCCTAGAAAATGTAAAAGGAAACTTAATTTGATAGCATCCTGTCTGGCAAGAACTCACTTATCAATAGCTGGGATGTGAAATCCTCACTTCTGTATTGTTTTGTCATTATAGTTCCCACTTTGCTATTTTTTTCAGAGTAACAGCCGTGTTAGTCTGTATTCGCAAAAAGAAAAGGAGTACTTGTGGTGAGCTGTAGCTCACGAAAGCTCATGCTCAAATAAATTGGTTAGTCTCTAAGGTGCCACAAGTACTCCTTCACTTTGCTATTGTTTGTCTATATAATCTCTCTGGTTCTGTGATTGTTCCTGTCTGCTGTATAATTAATTTTGCTGGGTGTAAACTAATTAAGGTGGTGGGATATAATTGGTTACATAATCATGTTACAATATGTTAGGATTGGTTAGTTAAATTTCAGGAAAATGATTGGTTAAGATATAGCTAAGCAGAACTCAAGTTTGACTACAGATTATATAGTAAATGAGGGAGTGGGAGTGGGTATGGGGTGGGGGGTATGTGTGTGTGTGGGGGGGGGGGAGGGAGATGGGAACAGGGAATGGGGGTAAGAAAATTGGAATAATGTTTTGCTAAAGGGGGAAATGGGAACAGGGAATGGGGGTAAGGAAGTTGGAATCATGTTTGGCTAAGGGTAGGAATGGGAACAGGGACACGGGTGTAAGGCTCTGTGGTGTCAGAGCTGGGAAGGAAGATACTAAGGAAGGAAACTGGAATCATGCTTGCTGGAAGTTCACCCCAATAAACATCAAATTGTTTGCACCTTTGGACTTCGGGTATTGTTGCTCTCTGTTCATGCGAGAAGGACCAAGGAAGTAAGTGGGTGAAGGAATAAGCCCCCTAACACCACTCTTCATTACATATGTTGTCCAATGGAATGAGAGGCTGCTCAGCAAAAGTAAGGAGATCAAAATCTGTCCAAAAGAAAATGTGGGCTAGATCGTTGTGACATTCTGTACCTCAGGGGGACATCTTACACCCCCATGTTCATCTTTATAAAATGATTGTGTGGTATCCAATGCAAAGTTTGTCATGATGGGTGTCTTTGGAAGGCTCATGATGCACCAAGCATGGTTGTTATAGTGGTGATATAGTAATTGTTATAGTGAGGTTATAATTTCATGTATATAGTTATGAGGCTGAAAATGTATCCTCATGGCTTAAAGCAAGCCCATGCAAAAACTCTCCAAGAACAGAGAGGCAGTTCACACCTCATCAGGGCATGGATGGGATAAACCCAGCCCAGCCTCACAGGAACAATGGACACTGGCTTAGGCAACAACAAAAGAATCTGTGTTCTCCTCCACCGAGTCGCCCCCTTCCTTTGGTCAGTTTGGAACTGTGATGAGGTTCCTGACTCTGAAGGTGGGGGTCAGGGGGAAAAGCCAAGAGGAAATAAAGGACATGATAAAAGGGAGAGAGATTTTGCCATGTTCTTTTTTACACTTATATCTACAGACACCACCACCACCACCAAGCGACTGAAACGCTGATCAAAGGGGAGAGCCTGACTGAAAAGTAACCAGCCACCTGTGGTGAGAAGCATCTAAGTTTTTAAGGACATAGAAAGTGTTAAGATCAGCTTAGAATGTTTTGCTTTTATTTCGTTTGACCAAATCTGACTTGCTATGCTTTGACTTATAATCGCTTAAAATCTATCTTTATAGTTAATAAATCTGTTTGTTTGTTCTACCTGAAGCAGTGTGTTTGGTTTGAAATGCGTCAGAGGCTCCGCTTGCGATAACAATCCTGGTACATATCAATTTATTGATATCCAGACTGGTGATCTGCTAGGCCACTCCAATCCTTGATAACTGCAGAGGGGAACGTAACAATTGTACCGTTCCTTGCAAAAAGCCTCACAACTGCAACCCACATAGGATTTTGGCACAACTGCTCTTTGTGGTGAGAGATAACACACAGGTTAGTGCCAGGACCAGTGCCAAACTCTCCAAAGGATGAGTATGATGAGCAACAAAGGGTTAAGGAGCTGCTCGGGGCTCAGCCAGCTGTACCCCTCCATGTCTGTAAGAGATGCACAAGTTGGATGAGTTAAATGAGAGCAGAACAGCTAACTTGTGTGCAGGTCAGGAAAGAAAAAGGAATTTTATCTTGCAGCTCCTGAAGAAAGGGCTGAGAGGAAGGCATGATCTCTCCCATTCACAGTTGCCTCAAGGTCGCTCCCAGAGGGAAGAGAGGACCAGTTTCACATAAGACCCTTAGAGAGAAGCATTTCCCACTCTCACATATTAACATAAGAATGGCCATACTTGGTCAGGCCAAAGGTCCAACTAGCCCAGTATCCTGTTTTCTGACAGTGGACAATGCCAGGTGTCCCAGAGGGAAGGAACAGAACAGGTAATCATCAAGTGATCCATCCCCTGTCGACCATTCCAGCTTCTGAGAAACAGAGGCTAGGGACACTATTCCTGTCCATTTGGCTAATAGCCATTGATGGGCCATGAATTTATCTAGTCCTTTTTTTAAACCTCTGATAGTCTTGGTCTTCACAACATCCTCTGGCAAGGAGTTTCACAGGTTGACTGTGCATTTTGTGAAAAAAATACTTCCTTTTATTTGTTTTAAATCTGCTGCCTATTAATTTAATTTGGTGACCCCCGAGTACTTGTGTTATGAGAAGGAGTAAATAACACTTCTGTATTTATTTTCCCCACACCAGTCATAATTTTATAGACCTCTTTCATATCCCGCCTTAGTCGTCTCTTTTTTCCAAGCTGAAAAGTCCCAGTCGTCTTAATCTTTCCTCAGACAGAAGCTGTTCCAGACTCCTAATTATTTTTGTTACCCTTTTCTGAACCTTTTCCAATTCCAGTATATCTTTTTGAGATGGGGCGACCACATCTGCATGCAATATTCAAGATGAGTGTACCATGAATTTATATAGAAGCAATATGATATTTTCTGTTTTTTTATCTATTCCTTTCTTAATAATTCCCAACATTCTGTTAGCTTTTTTGACTGCCGCTGCACAGTGAGTGGATGTTTTCAGAGAACTATCCACAATGACTCCAAGATCTTTCTTGAGTGGTAACAACTAATTTAGACCCCTTCATTTTTTATATGCATTACTTTGCATTTATCAACATTAAATATCATCTGCCATTTTGTTGCCCAGTCATGCAGTTTTGTGAGAGCTACTTTTGTAGCTCTTCACAGTTTGCCTGGGCCTTAACTACCTTGCATAGTTTTGTATCATCTGCAAATTTTGCCACCTCACTTTTTACCCCTTTTTCCAGATCATTTATGAATATGTTGAAAAGGACTAGTCCCAGTACAGACCCCATTGGGGACGCCACTATTTACCTCTCTCCATTCTGAAAAGTGACCGTTTATTCCTACCTTTTGTTTCCTATCTTTTAACCAGTTACCAATCCATGAGAAGACGTTCCCTCTTATCCCATGACAGCATACTTTGCTTAAGAGCCTTTGGTGAGGGACTTGTCAAGGGCTTTCTGAAAATCTAAGTACACTATATTCACTGGATCCCCCTTGAAAGAATTTCTGCTCCTATTTTCGTGACTCGGATTTAACTTCCACTTTTTAAAGGATGCCTTTCTGACTTTCACTGCTTCATTTATTTTGTTGTTTAGCTGTGGTGGCTCTTTTTTGATTCTCTTACTATGTTTTTTTTAATTGGGGCATACATTTAAGTTGAGCCTCTATTATGGTGTCTTTAAAAATTTTCCATGCAGCTTGCAGTGATTTCACTTTTGCACTGTACCTTTTTAATTTCAGTTTCACAAACTTCCTCATTTTTCTATATTGTCCCTTTCTGAAATTAAATGCTACAATGTTGGACTTCTGTGGTGGTTTCCCCACCATAGGGATGTTAAATTTAATCTTATTGGGGTCACTATTACCAAATAGTCCAGCTATATTCACCTCTTGGACCAGATCTTGTGCTCCACTTAGGACTAAATCAAGAATCGCCTCTCCTCTTGTGGGTTCGAGGACTAGCTGCTCCAAGAAGTAGTCAATATCCTCCAACAATATGAGGCACTCTAGTTCACCCATCTTATTATTTAGACTCCTAGCATTGGTATATACACACTTGTCACTTTTTAACCGTCTCTCATTACATGATGTAATAGAATGGGACTTTTTTCATTTGACTGTTTCTCATCAGATCCTATCCGTATTTTATCATCTTCCATCCTCTCCTCCTTATTAGGACATAGAGCATCTCCATTAATATGTACTCCCCTAAGGAATGTCTCTGTCCAAACCACATGCTCCTTTACACCTGTCGGCTTTTTCCCAGCGCTTAGTTTATAAACTGCTCTACGACCTTTTTAATTTTAAGTGCCAGCAATCTGGTTCCATTTTTGTTTAGGTGTAGACCATCCTTTCTATATAGGCTCCTCCTTCCACCCCAAATTTTCCCAGTTCCTAATGAATCTAAACCCCTCCTCCCTACACCATTGTCTCATGCATGCATTGAGACCCTGCAGTTCTGCCTGTCTAACTGGTCCTGCACGTGGAACTGGAAGCATTTCTGAGAATGCTACCATGTAGGTCCTGGACTTCAGTCTCTGACCTAGCAGCCTAAATTTGGCCTCCAGAACCTCTCTCTTATCCTTCCCTATGTCATTGGTTCCTACATATACCATAACCACCAGCTCCTCTCCAGGACTACACATAAGCCTATATAGATGTCTCGAGATCTACAACCTTTTCACCAGGCAGGCAAGTCACCATGTGGTTTTCCTGGTCATCGCAAACCCAGCTATCTAATGAAACCCAGTTTCTAATGATCAAATTGCCCATTACTAATAGCTGTCTCTTCCTAGTAACTGGAGTTCCCTCCCCCAGAGAGGTATCCTCAGGGCAAGAGGATGCCACAACATCATCTGGAAGGAGGGTCCCAAGTATGGGATTGTTTCCCTCTGTGCTCCAGTTGGATGTTCTCCTTCCCTGAGACTTTCATCCTCCTCAACAGAACAGGGGCTGTCAGCCCAGGAGTGGGACTGTTCTACTGTGTCCCAGAAAGTCTCATCTGTGTATCTCTCTGTCTCCCTTAGCTCCTCCAGTTTAGCCACTCTGGTCTCTAAAGCCTGTACACAGTCTCTGAGGGCCAGGAACTCCTTGCATCAAATACACACATACGCCACCTGCCCTTTGGGCAGGTAATCATACATGCTGCATGGGGTGCAATAAATTGGATAGCTCCCCCTCTGTTGCTGGACTTCTACCTGCATTCTCTTTTTACTCCTGAAGCTTGTTCCTTTGTTGTTGTTTTTGTTTTTATCAGGTGGTGTTTTGGGCTTTAAGTTTAAAGAATGTTAAGTTTATCCAGCCCCCCCTCATAACTCCCTCACAAAACTCCCCAGTTTGCCACTCCTGTTCGCTAGCTCCTCTGGTCGCTTAGGTGCGGGCTTTTTAAAGCCCTTGTCTTCCTGAGTATCCCTGCCCCCTGGTTAAGGGTTGATGGGTACTAAAAGGCTTAGGGATCAAAGCCTCATTAAGAAGTTTTCAGCCTTGCCTATCAGGCCACTCAGCTGAGCACACACACACACGGTCAGCACACAGTTCCCCAACCAAACAGACCACATGCAGCAAGAACACTACAAACACAGACACTACAGAGAACAAACTTAGCCGAAGGGTCATGTAATCACTCCTCCTTCACCTGGAGAACTCCCTCGCAGAACTCCATTGTTAGCCCTTCCAGTTCGCTAGCTCCTCTGGTCACTTAGGAGCAGGGTTTTTAAATGGACCCAGAGTGTCTGCTGAAATGGATGATGGAGAACCAGAAACAGTAATGGGCAGCCCATCAGCAGAAAAAAAAACCCCCTGCACTAAATGACTACCCAGCAGAAACAGCTGGTACAGGACTTCAGGGCACAACAGCAGGTGCAGGAACAATGACTAGTCCAACAAGTCATGGTCTTAATGCAGCCTCAGGGTTCCTCTAGGGCAGTGGTTCTTAACCTTTACTGCAGCCTCCACCCCTTCAGTTCTCAAAATATGTTCTCGCACCCCTTATCAAAAAAATCGTTGAAGTAGGTCAGTTCTTTAAACCTAGAAATATTTTTGTTTGTATATTACAGTAATTGTTAAATGTATAATGTTAATCAATACATAGGTTTGATGAAACCAAATAGTTGTACTTAATTTGTGTTTTCAATGATTTACGTTCTAAAAAAATCTGGCACGTCTCGCACCCCCAGACAGGGCATCTCGCACCTCGAGGAGGTTCATACACCCCAGGTTAAGAACTACTGCTCTAGGGCTTCCCCTCCAGAGGCAATAACTCCGATCCCAGGTACCCCTGCCCATACCCATGAAAATGACAAAAATGAGCCCTGAGGAAAACCCATAGGCCTTTTTGGCAGTATTTGAACAGGTGGCAATGGCAGTCCAATGACCACTGTGACAAAGTTCCTGCTCTACCTATGTTGGTCTTGCACTTATTAGTGGATTTGCTTGCCTTGGAGCTTCACGGCAGCCCTCAGCTTGGCCGTTTCTCTGAATTCACAGTCCAGGTTGACTCCTCCTGTGTCTGACCAGGAGTTGGGAGGATTTGCGGGGAACCTGGGCCTGCCCTCTACTCCGGGTTCCAGCCCAGGGCCCTGTGGAATGCAGCTGTCTAGAGTGCCTCGTGGAACAGCTGTGCGACAGCTACAACTCCCTGAGCTACTTCCCCATGGCCTCCTCCCAAC